ATTTACAACAGTAATTTCAACACATCTCGAAGCCTGGCGTGTCAACAAGATTGAATAAAAAAACATAAAAATCAGTAAAAAAAACTCATGTTTATTCGAGAAAAGCGGGCCCTCACAGCGACACACACTCTTCCTGAATAACTTAACTAAAGAGTATTGGCTGGTGCTTCGCGCATTTGCCTTCGCCGGGCTGAGTATGGGTTTCTTGGACTTTACGAGCCAAACACCCGAAGGATGCTCGTGTTCTTCTCGGAAGGTCCCTGTGTAAAGAAGTACGCCACCACAGCAGTCACGAAGTTACGATTTCAATGGGGTCGAGAATCTCTGGCAGTGTGGCGGTTCGAATCTGTCGGAGCTTCGACACTAGCTGTGGGTTCTGGGTGCAGGTAGGACTGCATGGGGAACTGTCGGGTCTCGAGTTTAGAAGGGGCGTCGTTTCATCATTCTGGGGAGAAGGTGTTCATGGCATATGCCGATTGGGTTTCCACGAGACTGATATGAATCAGCGATGTTCAGTATAGGGCTTTGTGAACTGCTTGCATGTGTCCAAGAACTCAACTCTCGATGTCAATCTGCGTAGCAATACCATCCACGCACTTTTTTGCGACTTGCTTTAGAACAGAAGACAGCAGGGTGCTGACAGCAAGGGCAGCAACAGGGACCAAACCCGGGCAAAGTGCAATAGAGATAAGAGAGGGCGGCTGAGACGAATGTGGCTCTCCAAACATTAGTCGATACAGTAAGCAGCAGACTCCAGCAGAATCTAGTGGCAGAACACTAATAAGAAGCAGGGGGGGTGGACACCAGTAGTCCTGCAATACTCCTGAGGTCCTCAGGATCCCTGCATCCACTTCTCAAATCACCGAATTCTGGCACATGTATATAAAGTCTCCATTTCCAGTTCCTGATCTCCATGCAAGGCACTGCGGAAGTGGCAGGCGTGGAGAGCATACCGTCAGTACCGCACCTTAAAGGAGTGAAGAAGTGTGATTTTTCATGCGGGTGTGAGGGTGACATGTTGAGAATTCTCACAACTATCCCTCGGCACAGGCACAGTTGTTAGAACCCTGACAATACTATTACTATGCTACTCCCTCGTTGGGTAATTTGGGGTCTGAACTGGCCGCGAGTCTCGAGATTGAGGAGGCTTGTCCAGCTGCAGGACGATATTTAGAATTATTATTGTTGTTGCTACTCTTCGTATAATTGATACTATGTACATGTTTTTCGTGGGGAAGCGCATCTAAGGTGAGGGTAGGTTCTTCTGACATACTATGAACAAACTCCTTGCGGGCACCAAATGCGACCGACGCCGTTCGCAAAGGCGATCCTCAAATGGGCAAATGGAGGAGAACATGCACATCTCTCTAGTGCAAGGTGCAGCTTGATAGAAGAGGTCCCCTCATGTGCGCAGAAATGCTACCCAACACTCTCCCAGTAACCCTAGACATTTTTTTGTTGAGCAGGGGCTAGGAACCCTCAAACCACGTATACACCACTAAACCCATAACCCTCAACCCCTAAACCCGAAATCTCCTAAACGCATAATCCTCATGCAAGCGTCTTGATGATGATCTGAATAGCTTCGGGGTTCCAGTAGCGCCCATCTCCGGAGACCACCAAGGTCCCGCCTTGCACCGGCACATTCTCCTCAATGAGGGTGTTAAAAACCTGAACAGGGGGATTTAGGGCTTTGGGTTTAGAGTCTTTGGTTTAGGAGGGTGTTAAAAGCCTGAAGGGGGGGGGGGGGGGGGGGNNGGGGGCGTAGCTTTCGAGATCTATGTAAGTCTATGCGGCTTTTCACTCCTAGGCCTCGGCCTAAATCCTGCAGCCTCAGCCATGTTCCTGGCCCTGCATATGTATGGTGGGAAGGAAAGTACGTATGCATGAATGCATGCATAGACGGATGCATGGACGGTCGGATGGATGCATAGGTGTATGTATGGCGAGATGCACTGCATGTAGTAAAAAGTCTACGCCCTGTTCCCGAAACCCTAGGAGCCCGAAACTCATTCGGGGATTAGAATATGGAGTTGCCGGAGACTGCGGCACAACCTAAACCCCCTCAACGGCTCTTCCGAAACATCACGGTTTCCAAAAACCTTATAGTAACTGTAACTTTTTCCCCTTTTAAGACCCTTTTAGAGCCCCTTGTGGGCTTGGGCTGGGGAAATCCCAGTGCAGCTTATGAGTCTTCTGGCTCATCCTGCTGGTCCTCTGTGGCTTTTCGAAAGCGGTTCTCTACTCCAGCAGTTAGGGACTTCTGAGATTATTGCTTCGGGATCTCGATGCCTGTGAAGGCATCCATTTTCCCGACTACGCATGCTTGGTAAGGAGACCCGTTTTCAAACAGAGAAAAGGCTAAGGGTATTGAAGGAGCGCCCTGCCAAGGAGCGCTTTGCACATAGTTGGCAAGGTAGTTGCCCTCCATGAAAACCTTCGTCTTCTTCCGCAGGCCACTGGTTCCAGGTGCCTGGCTGCTATGTGGCACAAGCAGCCCAGGATGTCTTTTCCTAAGACCTCCTATCATTACCGTTGCGACTAGTTTGTTGACTTTTCGTTGTCATGGGTAGCTTCGGAGGAAGTATGTGCACTTCTGTGATTATGCAGCACCTAACATGATCAGACTCATTGTCGTTACATCCTGTCTACCTGTATACAAGATGTAGCCAATCAGTGTCGCTGAGTTATTTCCATGCCGGCTATCTCGCCCCTTTGATGCAGCCCGCCTTTATGCGTAGCAGAGACAAAGGAGTCCACGACAGCTTGAAGTCAAACTACATTTCAAGAAGGAGTCTCTTGTCAGTGGCTTAGGCCTTTAAGTGCTTCTGTGCGATTGCCCCTTAATCCCTCGTCATTCAGAGAATCTGCAACCCCATCATCGGCTGTCGATGATTGTCCCAGGCCTGCCCAGCAATTGGCTCGGTAGGTACCGTTTTTACAGATAGCGTCACGTCATTCTTGATGACCTTGGATTTTGGCACATTGGCTGAGTTTGGAGACTGTGGGTCATCTATCTAGGTCAATCCAAGCTTGAGCTGTTGGGATCAAGCAGCGAAGGCTGCGGTCGGGCTGCCAGGAATACTGCTAGTTTGCGAATATAGTGTATAGCTTATCAACAGCCAAGAGGCGGGGCGGCCGTCACCACCGCAAATGTTGCTGGCGACCTGCCCCATACCTCCTACAGAAGCCAGGTGTTGCACAAATGACCATACAAATAACTGCGCAGCTGAAGCATGCATGGGACCGTGACTTGCGTCACTGAGCTGATGAGTCCAATTCCCAGGTGACTACAGATTTGTTGTGAGGCCTCATAAGACCCTGTTGCTATATCTGGTCCGAAGGAACATGGGATTTTGCTCCCTAGGAGGCTCCTGATGGCCTAAACCCTATACAGCCCAGTTGCTAAGTAACCTGAATCTCCATATAAAGTAGGTAGGTACCCTGCGACCCTGCACCAATGAACTCGAGCCCTATGCCCAGCACGAAAAATGTACATCAAGCCGATGATAGGATCTGAAAATTGGAACAGGCCGTTGAGGTATATATATATATATATGCATACACACAGACACACATGCATATGTGAAATATATTTGCATATGTGTACATACCTGTATGGATACATTACATTACACAACATTACATTGCATTGCATTACATAACGTTACATCACATTACATTACACTACATCACATCACATCACATTGATACATACATACATACATACATCCATACATGCATGCACACATACATACACAGGTAGATACGTACATACGTACGTACATACATACATACATGCATAGATCCATACATACACTAATTACATTACAATACAATACATTACATTACATTAAATTTTATACAGGCATACACACGCATACATACATAATGCATACATACATACATACATACATAAATACATACATACATACATACATACATACATACGTACGTACCTACGTACATACATACATACATACATACAGACATACAGACATATACATACATATCTTTTTTGGCACTCGCACTCGGCCAAGTCCGGCGAGGCAACACTAAATACATACATACATACATACACACATAAGTACATACATACATACATACATACATACATACATAAATCCATACATACATACATACATACATACATACGTACCTACGTACATACATACATACATACAGACATACAGACATACACATACATATCTTTTTTGGCACTCGCACTCGGCCAAGTCCGGCGAGGCAACACTAAATACATACATACATACATACATGCATACCTACATACATACATACATAAATACATACATACATACAAACAGACAGACAAACAAACATATGTACATACATACACACATACATACATACATACATACATACATACATACCTACCTACATACACATGCATGCACACATGCATGTATATGTACCTAGATACATACATACATACATATGCATGTACACTTCCACCCACCCGTACATACATACATACATACATACATACATACATACATACATAGACTATTGTATTGTATTACTGTATACTATATCATGCTATAGTATGGTTTAGTATCGCATAGTACAGTGTAGTTTATTTACTATAGTATAGTAGAGTATACTATAGAATGTCCACATTTTATTATAATAATTATTATGCCGCCTCATATTAAGTTCCAACATATACAGCTGCATGTATATTTTTGCATAGACCAGAACGAAAAGCAAACACGCACACACACACACACATGCAAACGTATCATGATGTGATGTGATATGCTTTGATATTTTTAACATGATCTGATGTGACACGACATGATGTGATATGGCACTGTCGCATCTGATCTGATCTGACCTTGTATGGTACAGTATGAAATGATATGGTCTGAAAAAATATGCAGTTAACTATTTCGCCCCTACATTAGCCCAAACGTTCCTGTCCTTGATTGGAAGACCGGTGCTTCTTTCAGAGGCAGGCAGACGGTCAGCTGTAGCGCTGGGAGGGCGCTGGTGCACCAAAACGGCTCGAGCCCGTCGTGGCCGCATTTCCGGAGTATAGGCTAGGTCCCTTTTTTTAACCTAAACCCACTAGGTAGTCAGGTGTACATTGTGCATGGGTTTAGTAAGGATGTAGCCGAAGAGTCATGTCTGCCTGGCATGTCGACAACCTTGGTCTTATGAGTGCACGGAGTAGTCGACGGAACCTCCGCAACCGCAGACTGAAGTAGTTAGAGCCATCGCACCAGCTACCCCCGACCTTTTCCGAGCACTCGTCGTTTGCACGGCCCATGGAAAACTGTGCCCGGGCGGAAGCCAGGCCTTGACTGAGTTTGCCCTCGCGATGCAACCAGTGGACCAGGGGCAAAGCCAACGTATGCCGCTTGCACCCACCGGGCCGGTAAGCGCCTGCATCTCGCAGTGACGGTCACGGGTCGCCATCTGCAAAGCTGTGTCTGCCGGCTGGCTGCACCATGTGTAGGAGGGTTAGCCTCGTGCCCAGAATTCAGAATCAGACAGTGTGTGGCAAATAGAAGTATCCGGGCGATCATAAGACGAGCTGGCCGTTGTCAGAAGGCTCTTTGTCTAGGACTCTATAGGATGGTGGAGTCGTCGCACCTGTTATCGGAATAAAGCTCTCGACGACAATCGTCATCCCTGGTGCTCAGCAGCAGTGCGGGAGGAAATGTCCGTGACGGAGTCGTCGGTGGTCCGATAGTCTTCGGCCGCTTTCATGGGGACGTACAGCGCGGGAGTCAGCCACAACCTTGCATCGTCGGACCAGAAAGCACATCAACTGTACACCCATACCAAAGTCCAACATTCACAGATATTCAAGTCTTCCAACTCCGCACCGGGGAGCTCCGAGAATCCAAACGAACATTCCGACACCAAAGGGAACACAGGGAAATAATGAACCCTAAACCTGAAAGCCTGAATCTGAAAATCAAACTTCCCATCACTACTACACTCAAAACACACAACAGGTTGACCCCTACACCGCTTCAACAACAATCACTCGGCAGGCTCTGCCTAAACTCCAAACCCTAAACCCTTCTACTATCCTAGGTTAAACCAAAACCCTTGCACTCGAGAAGCAGGTCCTCCATATGCCGGAGCTCAGCGGCCAGTGCTCGAAAGCGTGCAGCGAAGGCCAGTGCAGATGGCGCATTGCGGTCCTTGGCTTCTTTGGTTCAGTTGTTGGCTTGTCCTCATAGATCCTACACCCCATAAACCCTGAACCCAAATTAAAACATCCGAACCGTCCGGATATGGTGAACCTTTGCACTCCTGAAGCAGCGTCGATTCCTTACTATGGATAATGCATAGGCTTTTGTCGGGTTTGGTCCAGATGCCACATGAAGAACCTCCAAGGAGAATCGGTGGTTGCTCCATCAGAAGCCTACGACTCGAACTCGAAACCCCATAAACTTACACTCCTGTAATACACGTAATTAAACAATCGTCTAGTTGCTCGATCGGGTGTGACGGCCGCTCTGGTGCGCAAACCGGCATCCAAGAGGAATCTCGCAGGCTTTGTTCGCAATCGGCTAGGGGTTAAGGCTTAAGGGCTTCTCTTCAGGGGAGTAGAGTGTAGACGGGGTTGAGGCTTTCGGGGTTCGGGGTTTTGGTTTTCAGGGGTATGAAGCTTGTTTTCATGGCTTCCTCTTTCGAGGTGGCCTCCTCAACACTGGATGGACATGGACGGAAATTAATGTAAGATCAGCAGCCATGAGAGGAATTGATGATTCGGACCTGAAGCGTCCTGATTTCCTTTCCCGGAAACACGGTCACAAGATATCCAGACTTCCAAAACCGGAAGCCTTGCAAATACCAAAAAGCAACGCCCGGATTTCAGCAGCCTGCACGTTACACAGCAACTGCACCTCTCCGTCAGCTCCCATAACCCAGAAAGCCTCCTAAACCCCTAAACCCTAAACCCCAAAACGGATTTCATGCAACTCCAACCTCGCTGCCGGCACGGAGCCGAACTGTGCCGCCTGCGTTGTGAGCACAATGCCAGGAGCTCCCGCCCTAAGCCCTAAACCATAAATCCTAAAAACCGCATTGCTTTAGGGATGTCGGACTCTCCGCTTCGAATGTCTATACAGCTGGGAGCTTCGGATAAGGATTTTGGGGCATAGTGTATTATGATCATACAGGGATTGCAAGGCGATGCTCCGATGTTCGAGATGCACCGGCCTTGTGCAGGGAGTTGTGGCCGTTGCAGTTGACGAGGCCAGCATCCACTCTGCTGTGTGTCAGGTACCTGGGTTCCCGACCCGACGCACCAAACCTCGCAAAACACCTCCGCATTTCAATTACCGGATCCCTTCACGAAAAGCTCCACACGCACCCAATGATCCTGATATCAAAACCCTATAGACCCGATAAAACCTTGAATCCCATCGGCCCAAGACAACACCCAAGTGATTTTCTCAAAGGCGCTCCAACATCTCCAAGGAAGAGCTCGCCCCATCCATCCTGGAAGCCTTGTGCATGGCGTTGCAACCCCAGCCTTGGCATAAAGTTGCGCATCGCAACTCCAAGCTCGAGGAGATGGAACTTGAAAGTATCTATCTATTTGAGTCTTGCTGGGTGCCTGGGATTTCGAGAGCCTCATTTGGTCTGGTATCCAAGGCCCCCAAGCCCTTGTATGCAGGTCCTTGGACCCTGAACCCTCTTTGAACCCAGACTCTGCCGAGCAGCACTGCATGATCAGGGCCTTTTCTTCAGCACGCGCTTTGGGCTTTGGGCTATGTGCCGGCAAGCTGGCATCTTAAGGCCTCCACGAGACACCAGCCAACTCCAAACTCAACTCATTCGTATCATTTATAGGTGTCCAGGATCCTGCTTTTGCACAGACTCGGTCCCTCAAGCCCAAAACTTGAAACCCCCTTGCATTTCGGTGCTTGGACCCTTCCGGCGTGCTGCTTCCAGGCGGCTGTTCGTGTGATGCACATCCGCCCGCCGACTCACAAGGAGTGAGCAGCACGTGACGTGGCCTGAGCCCCGAAACAGTTTTTGGTTTTCCCAAAGGGTCCAAGTACTAGTATAGTATATACTTTGGGGCTCAAAATGGCTACTAAGTAGCTACTATAATGGTACTTGGACCCTTTGGGTTTGCAGATTTAGGAGTGTCAGATCTGTAAACGGTTTCGGGGCAGGGTGTTTAGGTTTTCGGCACTCGCAACGGGGACATGTCTCTGCAGGTTCCTGGTACGACGATAGCTCATTGGCCAGAGACGTTTAGGTTTTTAGGGCAATACATGCTTTGGGGGTTTATGCTGGTTCTTTATAAGGCCTCATGGTTCCGGGAGTGGTGCGTGGAAGAAAATAGTATGCTCCAAAAGTGATGGGTTCGGATGTGGGGACAGCATAATATATAGTAAGGTGCGGGATCGGAGCCCACCACCCCAAACGTTTTCGAAGTATCTTGCATTCAGGTCTACGTTGTCTTTACATGAGTTTTGTCCTTACAGACCTGTAGTATAGAATCTGATAGAACTTGCATTCAGGTCTATGTTGTCTTTACATGAGTTTTGTCTTTACAGACCTGTAGTATAGAATCTGATAGAACCCAGCTGACTGCTTATTAAAGCCTGTAGACTCCTGTGTTACAGTGATGCCGAGATGCCCTGCCAAGCAGCAAGCATGAGGGGTGTGTCACCACCGTCCGTCGCAGCGTCCACGAAATCGTCACCGGCTGCATCCCTGCAGAGTCTTCCCTGCCCCGAACGACCAAACGAAAGCCTAAACACAAAAGCCCCACACAACGTAAACCCACCCGACTTTGAACCCTTATATGTATGCCATATACACCCTAGAAGCCTCCAAGCGCACGGCTTTCTGCTGCAGCCAAGATGCAGCAACAATGCGCACACTGCCGCATGACCGTTCCTGGATCACAACTCCAAGCACATCCGCCGGCTTCTGCTCACTCTGCCCGGAATCCCAGCAACCGTGCTCCCGAATCCTTTTAAACCCTAAACCCTAAAAAGATCTGCTGCCGAAGCACCGTGCCGCCCAATGGAGCGCTGTGCGGCCGTGATGCTTCGAGGTGCGCGCCCGGGCGTCCATCTTGAGCCTTGCTACGGTTTGGATACTTGATACCCTATCTCCAGTTGCCTATACTAACATCTACTAACCATGCATTATGTCACACAGTACTCCAATATTTACGTAGAACCGGATGGAGCCCTCAGGTATTGCTCGGGATAATACGAGTGGGGGCGAGTTTAGAACTCTGGTTTCGAAATCGCCCACGCAAGCTGCAAGCATGGACGTTTGTTGGGAGGAGGACTGAATACAAGCTGAATGAGGACTGACATCTTTTCGGTTTGGGGGGTTCGCGTGCAGTGTACAGAAACTGACGCTCACCAACATCAGCAGTGAATCAGGTTTTCAGATTTTTTCTTCGTCGCGAGGGGGGTTCTGCAGTTACCGTAAGAGCTTCGTTTCTGAGGGTTCAAAACGTGTTGGGTCTATTCGGGCCAGGCAGCTCATGCAGCAGGTACTCGCAAACCTCGGCAAGGAGTCTCAATGGAGACTCTGGGCTTGGAGTTTCAAGTTTAAAAAGGGGCTTGCGAATTGGACTGCTGCAGATCCCTACATTAATGACCAACTCTTCCTTTCCAAAACCTGAATCATATTAGGGTCCCTATTATAATAGCCTTGTTCAGGGATAGAGGTTTGATAATCAGGGGTCTACACTATCAGTATCTGTTCACTGTCTTTGCCTTCCGCCTGGGTAGGTCTATGCCTGCGCTTTAGGTTTACTCGAGGCTGAAATGAAGTCTTCGGTGTAAGGATTTAGGCTTGGGGCTCAACTGCGGCGCTTGCACAGTGGAACCAAGTTCACGCAACCCTCATTCAGGTCACGACTGTTCTCAGTTTTCCCACCAATTTAGATGACACAAGCCAATACAAGGATTCAGGGTTTAGGGGCCAGGATACCCGCACTTAGAGTCGGACTTGTTGACATAGGTTATGCTGTCGCTAGCTGCCACGGACATCTATGGCAAGATTGTACCCTGAACTCCTGCCAATCCGGCAGCCAAAACTTCATCACTCGGCCACAGCGCATGAGCAAAACTGTGGGCCCCCATGCCTATGTCCTCCTTCCAAGCTCCCTACCTAAGACCTGAAGCATCTGTCCAGTATACCTTTGTCAAATTTGAACCTGAGTTTTAAATTCCTTACTTGTTCCTGGAAGGCCAGGAGTCATCTACATGACCACCGCCTGCGGCCCAGTGAAGCACACCATTCCCACGGTGATCGGTGGCCTAGCCAGGAGGCTTAGGACCGCGAGATATATATATATATGTGTATATATATATACATACATACACACACTCTATCTATATATATATATATGGGTAAGAGCTCAGGGTTTAGGATCGTTAACCTCCTCGGGTGCCATACTATTAGGAACCCTTTAAAGGAACCCAATTCTCGGTGTGGAGAACGGCGCACATTAATTGTACAGTTTGGGTTTAGAGTTAGTTAGGGTTTAGCACCCTTTCAAGGAACCTTATTCTCATTAGATAAGGTCCCTTCTAAGAGAGCCATAAGTAAGGTTTAGAAGCCTTCAAGAGGTCTCCGTAATACTACGTAGGACTCATGTTGGAGAGCGACTCAGTTTGGGAAGAGGCTCCTGCAGTGCGAGGCCTTGGGGCATACATACATATATATATATACATATATATATATATGTATGTATATATGTATATATATATAGAGAGAGAGATATGGATCATATAATCCTGCATGCCTGGATCTCTCGCTCAGCTTACTGAAAACATCGATCTGCACGGATCAGGGCCTTCCATCCTCGCAGTGTTCTGTTCAGAGCATGAGTCTTGAGCGATGCAGCTGGAAGAGCAAGTGCGGAGTCCTCTTGGGGAGGCATCCTGCCTGCATCCGCGCTTTTTCGGGTCTCGAGAATCCAAATAATCTTATTTAATTACCCGTATTTATGGCTTCCGAATCCCATGTTCTTGCTGGCCTTCGTGGCATCTCTACCTGCCACGACGAGTGCTCGAAGCGCGACGAGGTCGCCCCTGCATGCACGTTCGGACAGGGGCCCTCGGGAAGCCAAGGGGGCATGTCTGCTCGATGACAGAGGAGGCAGCCGTCACATTTGACTGAAATGTACCGACAGGGCCCAACACCCGGCAACTAAGCAACATATACCGCAAATAATTCGAGTATGAAACCCCAACAATTTAATGCATTTTTCTTAATCAAGGGCCCCTTGACTCTCTGGACACCACCTGAAGCCCACGGCCCCTTCTTAGGGCCCCGACCTCTGCGCTGCCTCGAGGCACGGATCGGGAGGGGGCGTCTTGGCCACACCTCGGCAAAGGAACGAAGGCTTTGGGTCTGCAAAAAGGGCCTTCGGAATCGGACTAGGGTTTTGGGGTCGGGTATATTTTTTCATTGATAAGGACCCCCGGCCCCTCCAAACAACAAAAAAAACTAGCATTCCCACATATTTCAGCTGCTTAAGGGAATATAGGAAGGCTGTGGATCCACAGACCCTGCACTTATTGCTTCAGATCCCGAAGGCTGTTATGGGTGTGATCTTTTCTTGGATAAGTGCGTGTAGGTATGATTAAGTAGCGAATGAGAGACATACTGCTGATCTTGACCCTCCTTTTCCGAGGAGTCAAATCATCCATAGGCTGACAAAGCTTCCAGCGGGGCTCCCTTCAGGTGCTTCGGCCGAGATGTCATCTTGGCAGGGGCGGAGATAGTATTCTGCTGCCTGCAAGGGAGGCCATGGGGTGGGGGGCGCAGGCGCTGTAGGTAATTCAAAACTCTGTACGTATCTGGAGTAGCCATCGCATATCATCCGGCCACATGCCTCCTGAGATCGCTTTCCGAAGTCGTGAGGATGTGATGGTAGCTGACGTGAATTTCGTAATGGGCTGCTCAACTCTCGACACAAAATGCTTTGAGGGGTCCTCCACGCTGAAGCAGCGAGTATCCGTGGCATTCTGCACGTGGGTGCGCATCGGGTTGCCCTGAACACTGGCACGGCAAGGTAGGTAAATTGCGGCTCTCTTGGAGCCCCGGGCTCCCCAGCCCCAAAGCAACAACAAAGACAACTCGATGAGAGATGGCATGAGTTAAGCGGAACGCTCACTGTTTCTGCGCCTACAGAAAATAGCACACCGACATGACCAGCCTCCCCGAAGAAGAAGCCGCAGCCCTTGCAGAGGACTTTGCCCTTGGCCGCTTGTGCTCGGATATGTTCGCGGGTGAAGAACCTGTCAAAGGGCGGGATAGAGGTGACTGGGGTGGGTACAAGTAGGGGGGATCATGAAACCAACCTACCTTCGTCCTACCTTTTGTTAATATACAACTGGAATATGGAGGACGGAGGAGTATAAGGGTTTTGGGGACGGCTTTTGCACATCGCGGTCCAGGGCTTCGGAGGCGTGGGCCCCGGTTTAGGACCCGAGACCCTCATCCGGCCTCAGCCCACCGCCCTGCTCCACCATGATGTGGGCTAGTGACTCGGCGTCCTGCAATAGAACGGCTCAGGGCTGCTTGGCTCAAAAGGTGTATAGGGCCCGTCAGGATTGCCCCTGAGAGTACAGCGGAGTGTAAAGGAATCCTGAAGACGGAAATCAGGGATCCCACGGAGGGACCTCCGCAAGATCAGGGGGCCTATTTGCAAAGACGTTTCAGTGATATCTTCACGGAAACCATGATTTGCAATCTGGTCTCAACAAACGTAGGGACTCCGGACAAAAATCAAGCACTTCAATGTCGCAGTTTGTAACGTAGGTGGTTGGCTGGGTCTGGATTTCTGCATCGCACCGGTGCAGTGATGAATCATACAGTCATCAGGAGGGGGGGGCAAGTGGCGTTACTGCACTGACGCGGTGTCGTGCCTAACTACGGTCAGCCACCGCTGATCGTTCAACATTCCGCGGCTGGTTGGGCTCTACAGTAGCCAGTTTACAACGGAAAATCATGGGAAATAGACGCCGTTACTGCAGCATTGTTCGCTTCTGTTGGATTCTTTTGACTTCTGTGGCACTAGGTAGGTAGGTAGGCAGGCAGGCAGGCAGGCAGGCAGGTAGGTAGGTAGGTGTGTATGTATGTATGTATGTATGTATGTATGTATGTATGTATGTATGTATGAGCGTGATGCTGCCCCAATCAGAAATCCTCCAAACGCCGGAGGATTGCCAAAGCCAGGTCGAAGGGCTCCTGCCATCTGCGGTTTTAGGCGCTGTTGCTCGGACACTCATTTCAATCTGTGGTGTCTATGCCGATACTCTCAGACTTTCTGCGGTGTAGGTGTAGGGATAAGTATCGGCTTCAGGTTGTGCCTATGCCGGCCCTCTGAAATTTTACAGGGTGTAGGCAGCGTAGGGTTTGGAAGCTTCGGCTTCAGGGCTCACGGATTTGGGGTCGGTCTTGTTGAGCCGACCCTACGGGTCCATGTACCCGAGTAGTCGATACTTTGGCCCCAAAGTAGCTATGCAAAGACTACTTTGAGGACGAAGTATATACTGCTTGGGCACATGGGCCCCTTATACCCTACTAAGCCCTAAACCTCTGTGGTACCCTGATAAAGGTATATACAACTTGGGCGCATAAACCCCTAAGGGTGATGTCTCTGAAAGCACAGCGGCCTGGTGGACTAGTTCAGCTCCGCGTCCTTGCGCCTGCGAGCGTTTTCGGGTGCAACAGGGCTCCTCAGGATCGTACTTACTGTAAACAGAGCCATCAAGCTACTAAACTACTAAACGTTTATGTTTATGATGCTAGAAGTGTTTATGCGTCTGTTAGCACAAGCCCTATGAGCTGTGGCAGACATCACCGCCGATTCCTACTTCTCTCTATTCCGCTCGGACCGGAACCTCAACTCCACAGCTGCACTTTCGCAGCAAAAAGACATCGAATCCCAAGGCAGGCACCAAGACCTTAACAAAGCTAAACGGCTAGAGAGGGGCTTAGTGTTCTACCCCTGTTGGTGAAGGACTTCCTCTCCGGGAAATATGCCGAGCATAAACCTGGCCTGAGTCTAAGAATCAGCGCAGAATGGTATATGGGCCCAAAGAAGCCTTGCGTTTGCACAGGTACTCGCGCATCATCCGGGCAGCGTCGTCAAGATCACACCCATCTGGTATAGGAGCCGTGGTACTGCGATGAGTGTTTACGGGGTATATTGAAATAAAAGGTCAATAGATAGGAACCCTAAGGAATAGTGTTACAATTATGCAGGCTTCTATATTCGCTCTGAGCTGAAAGGATGTATAAAGCCCTGGCACCCTCTGGACAGCCTGCTTCCATGCGGCCACGGCTGCGTTGGAGGCAAAATCCGGCCCATCACCTGCTTGGCCAGGCAGGTATTACGGTTTCCTTGAAGGGTTCCGTAATATTTACAGGTTTCGGGTATTGGCTTGAAGTTTTGGAGCAAGAGAAGAAGGTTAACTCTTGGGGTTGGGATTTGGGTTGAATGATTGTAAGGTTGATGTTTAGGACCTTGGGTTCAGTGCTCAGGGCTTGAGGTGACGAGCCCAAACCTGATTGACAGAACCAAAGGATGGCCGAAGCCGAGATACAAGCAATACTAGTGCAGAAATTACTCGGGATTACGGTCTATATAGGGTTTATAGAGGTTTTAGGGCTGAGGACAAAGAACCTTGAAACCCTATAAACCCTGAAGCATGCTTGCTTGCCAATGTCAGCTCCGGGCACACTGGAACTATGTTGCTGCGTGGCAAGGAAAGAGCTCCTGCTTCTGGATACCTTGAAAACATGTGCTTACCCGTAGGCTCCTAAGTAGTTGCTTTTTAGTGCTCATATTTAGAATCCTATAAGGTAATCCCAAAAAGGAACTACTAAGGAGCCGATGGGTAAGCCCTAACCGAAGCCCCAGAGCCCATGGTAGAAGGGCACCTGATAAGACCCTACACCACAAGAACCCTTACCTAATATAACCTCTACACCCTATCCAGCCCTGATATAAAGCCCTACAAACCCTGTAAAGCCCTTAATAAAAGCCCCTTAAACCCCCCTTTTGGACAACCATAATTACACCAATTAAACCCTAAAACCTAAATCCTAAACCCTGAATCCTGAACCCTATCCTAAACCCTGAATCCTGAACCCTAAACCCTATCCTAAGCCCTGAATCCTGAACCCTAAACCCTACACAATCCCACTATAGGCCGGGCCTTTGAGGCGCCTCAGGGAGCCTGAGCGGCCGCGAGAAGCTGCGGGGAAGCCTCCGATGCTCAATTCTGCGGGGCTTTAGGGCTTCTATAAGGTTTAGAGTTGAGGGGTATTAGTCTTACTTATCGGGCTTACTTAGGGCTTTAAGGCTTTAGAGTCTTAAGGCTTTGAGGCGTTCGGGTTTTGGTGTGTTTGAGTATTTTTGGGGGGCTTGCAGGACTTGCGGATGGAGTTTGCAGGGCATTCAGGTCCTGGCGAGATTTCGGCTCTGGATTCGACTCTTGCAACACTGCACCCTCTCTTTTGGCAGGAGTGAATGCATCCAATGACTCAGACCGCATGTTTTGAACGGTGGCAGTGGGAAGAAGTTGTGTGCAAACGACAAGTGCGCAGACTCGAGCCCTTTTTTATCGGCAGCGTGGCGGTCGCAGGCCGGCTCCTCAGCTTGTGCATGTGGCTCAGTATCCACCACGATTGGCTGGGCTCTGGTGCACCGACTCCTCCCACCAGTGGCCCAAGGGCGGAAGCTCCCCGTCTCGTCCCTCCCAAACCCTCGCCAGTGATGGCCGCTCCGCCGCGAATGTCAACACCAAATTCACCAAAGCAACTGGCACCAACTTCACGCTGGCCCAGGAGCGCAAGGTCTGGAAGAGCCCGAACCCTGCAGATCCTGCGGTTTTCCGGCGGGATGCCTGCAGGGCGGCGCGAAGTGCCTCGGCTGCTGCCGCCTGGCGCTCCGGGAGCGATGCGATGCTCTCGGCCCACAGAGTTCTAAATCGAAACGAGGTACAGACTCCACACAATTCGCACTCAACCTCGTCCTCCCACACCAGAGGCATCCCTTCAAGGCTCGCCTTCAGCGTATCCCCTGTCGCCTCTATGTCCATCGGGCCGCAGAGTCGAGCACAGTCGCTTTGCCCAAAAAGGATCGCCAAGTCCAACAATGAGAACACGCACATAGGACCGCCATGGCCACATCCCTGGCAAGGCAGGCAACGCGGCGCCCGGAACGAGCTCAGCACGAGGCCGGCCCTCTTGGCCTCACAGAGGCGCTCCCAGCTCAGCCGGACTTGGCCGCCGGAGGGGTGCAGGAGAAAATAAGCCATGCGGTTAGTATCTTCATGCGCTTGCCAGTGCCCCAGCTGCAGCTGAAGGCCTTCGACTCGGCACCAGAGCTCAGCGTGTGCGGAAAGTACGATGGCTTCCGCCAGCGAAGCGTGATCGAACAGAGCTCCAGGCCGGCGGCCAGAGCGGCAATCAGGACGTCTTTCTCCTGAATCTCAAATCGAAGAGAGAAGTCATCTTCAATGATTTTCACAAGCTCGTCGCCTCTCCAGCGCCTTAGCGGCCAACGGGTGCAGTGCTTGGCGCAGCATCTGACCAGTTCGGCATCCCCGATGAGGATGGCAACATCGAGAAGGTAAGCCATGGCTTCAGCCGTGGCGATTTCTTCAACAGCCGCCTGGGAGCGGAAGGCCTCCAGCAACGCGCGAACCAATGGCTTTGCAGCGGAGCTTTCCGCGGCCCTTTTGGCATCCTGGAGCATCCCAAATCCTCCATCCAAAGACCCCTCTCCTCATCTGACATACCCCAACTGCAACGTCTGCAAGTCTTCCAGTTCACACAATAGCACAAACGATACAAACCTTGGAATGGTTCAGGAGGTTCAACAGCAGGAGGACGCTGCAAGCTGTGCGGACCCTTGAAAACGCACCCTGACACTCGGTATGAAATCATGGCTGCAGCCGTGCTTTCGTGGCCGAACTGACAGCATAAGTCAAAGAGATGTTCCCCGGAATCGACTTCCTGGCTCAGGAGCTCCGTTTCTCCGGCCAGCAGACATTTGGCCACCTGAAATTCGTCCACGTCCAGGATGCACCCGTCCCATCGTCGATGAAGGAATCTCTCCATGGACTTCAGCTACTCACGGCAAGGACGCTGCTGCACACTTCGGTTCGAGACAGAAGCACGGCGAAAAACCACAGACTAGTAACTATAGTACTATTCAAGAGATGGAGAGCCTTAGCATTGAGGACAACTGCCAATGCTATGGCACTCTCCATGAACCCATAGTTACATCTGAAAGCTCTCCTATTGAACTTTCTGGCAAACCTAGCCAGGAGGAACCCGCATTTGCAGAGTAAAGTCGGAGAGCACGCTGGCAGAAGACACAGCTGCCAATCAGGGCAGGATGAAACAATGCGCAGACATCACGCTATTGAAGTTCCAAAGGTTGCTGTGGTATTCAACTCCCGATGGGCTTTAGGGCTAAAGGTTTTGGGGTTCTGGGGCTCTGGGGTACGACACGATCCGACAAAATATGGTTCGGTACGGGCCCAGGGTTGAGTCATAGGACTTGCCAGATGAGGATCATTGTCAGCAGCCTATATACTAGAACCCAAAGACTACCCTGAAACCTCAGCCCTTTCCTCTAACCCAACCTCTCACCCCAAAGCCGTAGATGGAAACGTGAAGCCTCTCTTTGCCGACGCCTTCAGCTTCCAAAGCAGCCGTGAGCTTCGCTTGCAGCTCATCTTCCATAAGCTCCGCTTGGATGCTCCGCTGTAAGTTTTTTTGGGTTTAGGGTGAGCGCCAACATGGTTAGGATTGCGGGCATCGTGGCTTTTAGGTACAGGGTCATATGGCATAATTCTGAGTTGTAGGACACTTGGGTTGAATTCCCAAGGCGTTTATGAGGTTCTTGTCGCACAGCTAACCAAGTCGCGGCTCCAGGGTGAGAGTTTACGAGGTTTAGTGTTTCTGGGGATAGTCATGGGCTCAGGGTTGGTATGTAAACCACCCTGCGCTTTATACAGTGGCCAAGTGAGACGCGCTGTTAAGAGCTCCCAGGTATGCTATGGAGCATTGCAAGTCAGACTGCTTTGCACTATGGCTAGGCTTTCAGTTAATATGCTTGCGCCGAAACAGCTGCGTCGGCCCATCATGGCACACAGAACATCTTCTGAAACTTATATAAACACCCAAACGAACCACCCCGAAAAATAATGGTCCCAAGGTAAGCACTAAACCCTACACCCTAGCCAAGTCCCACACAGCACTCCAAGGGCTACCCGGGCTTAGGTCTCTCGCGCATGTACATGAAAAGTACTCTGAGCACTGCAGCTGGCAAGTTCGTGCTGCACCGGTGAAGCTGAGAGACAAGGCTGGCCTAGAACTTGATGTTTCGTGCTGGAGGCCTTTATGTGAACAGTATTAACTATTATATAATGTCATAGAATCTTAAAACAAAACAGTATATTATAGATTCTAGATAGGAGCAACACTCACAATCCTGTGAGATCTGAAGCTCATATTTCGACCGTTGCTTTGGTTAGGGAGGACCGGATTCTTCACGAAGGTGCCCGTAAGCCCGTTTGGTTCACGGAAGTCGCTGACAAGGCTCTAGACTGCCCGAGTCAACATCTGTGGAGCTGCACGAAACCCTGGCCATCTAAGCTTTGCAGGCTAGATAGATAGATAGATAGATAGATAGATAGATAGAGAGAGATATATATATATATATGCATGTCAGACACTGCCCTGCATCAACTCTGTATTTTGACTTTACGAGGCCCGCATCCATCTTGCAACGTGCCTCGTCGCCGGTAATGGGATTGATGATCGTACCATGCTCCATCTGGCAGCAAGTGGTGGCGAATTTGTGCTGTGAATGCAACGAACCTCGGAAGCATTACGAAACAGGTCAAGATCTCGGAGCCCAGACAACACACAGGGTGCACCATCTGTAACATAGAGGTTTTGGACAAAAAACGGCCGAATCGTGAACAGCTCGAGGCCCTAACAGTAAAGATTTCCCCCAAAAAGGTGAACATCGATGGAGAATCCTGCGCCGTCGGCTGGACCCGATACTGCAAGGAAAGCAACCGCGGCTGCCAGGTGCTGATGCTACGCCGTGCATGCCAGAACTCGAAGCTCCAAGTGGTAAATGAATCCCTGCAAAACTGGTCTTCAAGTATGGGTCCTCTAGGCTGATGGACTTTAAAGTCTCCGGGCCTGGGCCTGAGCTCTAGGGGGCCCTTTTCTAGACATGATTGGTAACTTATTGTTCTTTTTCAACAACCGGAGGCTGTTGGGGTAAGGCCTGATCAACAAAAGCGCGCAAGCGCCTCTGCTTGACGTCTGTACGGCAGTCGTAGAGCATCGATCCTCATGATGTGGGTAGCTAGTTCTCTATATTAGGGTCCCTTTTAGGGTCCTATCTATATAAGAGTGTCGTACTATATTGGGGACCCCAAAAGGGACCCTAACTTAGAGAACTACCCATGTAAGGACGCGCATTTTGAGTTGAAGAGTTACAGGTAAGCGGGGTCTGGGTGGGCCTTTTGATGGAAACAACCTGTGGTCTCCATTGTAGCTCCTCTTTTCGGTTTCATCATCTTTTTGTTTAGGATCCTATAAGGTATCCCCAACAAGGAACTACAATGGAGAGTATAGGAACTGCACATGTATATATATATATATATATGTCAGACCTAAGCTCAATCTCATTGAGTTGGTGGTCACAAACATGTCAGCACAACACCACCTAACCCGAAATGTGCCGTGTTCTCCTCCATGCCCCTTCCCCTCCCTGAACCCGTGGCCTCGGCTTGTGCGACAATACCCAAACGCTGGCAGTCCGAATTTCCTACACCTCGTGGAACCAGAATACAGCTCCTCCTCATACACTCAAAAAAGGGCCTTTTCCTGCAAGACCTCGAAATAAACCCATCCAGTTTAAGCCAAGATGTAGCCAGAGTGCAACCCAATCTAGGGGCCGTGATGACTAGAATAGAGTTTTGGGCTCCTGCATAGTATGAGATTGTATAACAAGGAACCCGAAGTTAAGGAATAAAAGTTGGTAATTATTTAGGCCCCTATGTTACCCCTTCCTTCATCTCTTCCCCACTGCTGCTCAACTGTGCCACGTCCTGAGGTTGATGGCATCCTGCACAGGCGCCCCCATGGGGTGGACCTGCAGTCGATCGAACTCTTCTGCGGACCGGTTTAAGGCCGAGATTCCTGAGTATGTGATTTTTTTCTGGGCTTCCTGGAATAGGGCTGATGGGAGCATGTCCGGTGATTCATGCCTGCTTTTGCAGGGTTTGTCAGGCTTGAAGGCTACATGCAACACTTGTTGAAACCGATGTTCTTCTAAAGGCTTCGTGAAAGTTCGAAAGAAAAAAATCCGTGACCGGCCATTGAGCTCAAGACTTGAGGTTCTCGCGCAGCTGGCCTGGGCTGACAACCGGAAGAGGGCAGGTTAAGCGAAAGCCCGCGAAGTAGATGCAGCCAGCAGCTCAAGAATCCAAATCCGAAATCTCGCAAAGCAGCCGAGCTCTAAGACTGGCTGCGTGGTTTTTGACTCCGAGACGCGTCTTGAAAGCATGACCAGCGACAGGTGTTGACTTCATTGATGGCTCATCGGAACCGTGTGCTGGCAGACTACCGCCTCAACGAGCTTCGTGAGGTCTACCTCCGGATGCTTTGCACCACGAAGACTACCGTCGACAATCCTCTCCTGGCTCCCTCGGGCCACGGCGGCTGCAAAACTTTTCGCGTGATTGATGAGGGCTACCTGGACAACCAAGATGGCTATTGGGTCGAGGATGAAGAGGATGGCGCAGAAGGTGGCAAGGGATCCAGAGGAAGATGCTTCTTCAAAAAGAGGAAAGCTGCTTGCAACTTCGGCCAAGACGAACAGGACCCTGGCTCGAAGCGACACAACGCCGGCTTGCATCTCGCATCATGCAGGTCGGCAAGTTTGTGATGAAAGTCCGCCAAGAAACATGCCCACTGCGCAAAAAAACATCAAACTACTAACATACACATATGACATACATATATATATACATATACATATATACACATGTATACATATGTGTGTAAGCATCCATTATAAGTGGACAAGTCAGTGTCAGATGGAAGCGACTAAGCTGCCAGTGCAAAGGAAACTCAACTCAAACATGTGCCTCTGCGGCTTGCCACGCCAGGCACCAAGGCGAACAGGACCCTGGTCACCCGGTGGCACCCACAGAGACGCTTCTGAGCCCTTGCCACAGCTTTTCATACCTACACTCGCACATTGCTCCACAAGCCTGCTTTCAGCTGAAAGCCTACGTAGTCACGTCAGCTGTGGCAGTATGGGCTACACACACTGACTGACCCTTCGTCAGGTGCAGGAACTGAGAATTGAAGAAAGGGAGAGGCCCCAAACTCCACTGTGGCACCAAGGCGAACAAGACCCTGGCGGCAACTTGGGGATTGGACTTGGGGGTTGGGGATTAGTATGTAGGTTTCGTAACGCTTTCCCTTCGGGTTAACGCTCATGCTCTCTGAGCGCCCCATTCCACCATAAAAAAGCTGGGTCCAAGGTATAGGTATAGGCTCTTCTAAATTCTCAGCCGAAAGAGTCTGTACAATCAATTTAACGGTGATCCGGCTCAGGGATACCCGCGGCCCTGGCAGATCGGGAAGTTCAAACTCGAATCGGTACGGATACCCTTTCGATGACCAGGAGGAGCTCGTCGTCTTCAGATCCTTGAGTGAGACAGGGGCTGCGTCGCTTACAGCCCCGCCAGTTGCGTTCAGATGACACGATTCGGACCTGTAAAGAAACCTTAACGCCAAAAGCTTCAGGTGAACGCCGAAGCTCCATTCTCAGCAGGCTCCTCATCTCCAGCAGGCATGTCGATGCGCAGGCAGGGCCGGTTTTTCTTCCGGAGCCTCCGCAACGCTGTGTCGAGCAATCGGAAATCGGATCTCAATGCCTTTCTCATCTACAGGCAACTCGTGCCCGGTTGTGGATCCACTGCTTGCAGCAGTGTTCGCTATTTCCCGGGCTTGTGGGCTGGCTGGCTGGGGCTCCTCACGAACAGCATCACGCACGATTTCCTCTGCTGGCAGCTCCCAACTCTTGACACCTAGCTCGTCAAGAGAGTCGAGAATTGGAGGACGCTCCGCAGCGTAGGCGAGGATTCTATCGACCACAGCCGACGGGTCCAAGTCGCCGCGACACAGAGCCAAAGCGGCTTGGTACAGCGCCACTCCCTTCGTGGATTCTAAGCGGAGTGATGCATCAAGCACAGCTCTGCCGACTGCTACTGCTGCAGCCCGGCGCTCAGAGGATGGAGAAGGATAAAGAACCACGTCCTGAATCTCTTCGTCCTGACTCTCCTCGCTCAGCAGCTGGTCTGAGCTGGGAGGGAGAAATGCCAATGGCATGTGGATATCCATGCTGCACTGCTTGCACCTGATCGTCGCACCTACTTGTTCCAACCAGGGTCGCAGTTCATCCGCGAAACTCAGCTTAGACCTTGCTTCAGCCGTCACGGAAAGGCAAATCTCCATGGCAGCTTTGACGTTGCCAGCAAGAACTGCCAAATCCATTATTGGCCACTCCACTCGTTCAGGGGAACAGCCGCAGCTTTTCGTCGCGTACCATGTGAAAGCGGTGAGGTCGAGACCCTCTCGTCGAGCTGCCTGTAGGTGCCCCACATTCAGAAGCCCCGCCGTCGAGGTCGGGTCCTCAGAAAAGCAGCGCCGACCCCAGTCGCAGCCAAGTGGTGGATGCCAGGCCATTGAGGGCTTTGGAAGCAGTTTGACAATCTCCGGGCAGGCGGCTTGGGAGCCGAAGAGAAGGATCATTTGCCGCAGCGGCATCTGGAAGCAGCCGTCTTGCAGATGCTGAAGGTCCAAACCCGCGACCAACGCAGCCCGCAAAAGACTCGGTCGCCTGATCCAAAAATTGCTCCTCAGTGGCCTTCTGGAGAACGTCACCAAGTCTTGCAATCGCCAGCGTCTGAGTGGAAGCAGCCTGCAGCGCTTCCTGCAAAGCTCGACCAAACTGTCATCCGCAAGCAGGATGGCGATGTCAAGCAAACGGGCCATTGCTGCTTCGGTCACTGGCAGAGGCAAAGGCTCTCCCAAGCGCAGGGCGTTGAAGCAGGCAGCAACATGTGGCAGTTGCGCAGCCACTTTGGCAGCCGTTTTTATGCTTGTGAAGTCGGCGTCCCAATCGGGCATTAGGAAGCCATCCAAACATCCGAAACAGCAGCTTTCACAGGTTTCACCACCGGCACAGTCGCAGTCCCCATAATTGGAATAAGCCAGCTCCTCTTCCTTCCGCCCCCATGGGCCCATGCTCTGAATGTGAAGCATTCGGAGCGTGAACCGGGGGCAGACCTACTGTCTGGTTTCTTGACCGACTGATGAGCCTCGGTTTGGGATAAGGTTCTAGTTCAAATATATTCGGCTCATACCGCCTGCGCTCAATTCTCTGGGCCCGGCCATTTCTTGACACATCTCCTGCGACCAAGCCAGCAGGAATTTCTATGCCTTCTACTTCAAAGATCTGCGATAGTCAAAGGGTCATTCAGTCTTAGTTATTTAATTAAATACAAACATACATGTTGAGATGAAAATGTATGTATGTATGTATGTATGTATGTATGTATGTATCTATCTATCTATCTATCTATGTATAGGTTCGGTGCAGAGGCGAGACATCGCAGCTTTCTCCATTCTGTTCCGAGGTCACGGCAGCCCCGCCGACCTGCCAAAGAAACGACCTCAGCAGAAGGG